GACTGAGATTTGTAAGATGATCTTCCCCTTCACGGTCTTGATCACCCTAATCCTTCTTGGCCAAAATGATGCACGACAGAATCCAAGAATTTGGTTGATAATTCTGAACTCTTGGGCATTTTGTTTGTATGCATGTTTTTGTCCTGGTACACACCCCAAACCAAGGGAAAACTTTTCATTTTTCAATTGTGAAGGTCTGAAGGTTTAATAATAAACCCCCTACTTAAAATTTTGCATTTGTTCCTTTTTCCCCTTTATTCACACAGGATTTTTAGCTAATCATAAAACATCAATGCTAAAAAGACCTTCAGTTCTCTTGTCTATATCTTTTGTTTATGGATGAGGAAGCTCCCAGAGAAAGGAAGTGATTCATCCAAAGACACACAGCAGGCCAACAGCAGTGCCGGGCCAGAGCCCGGGGATCCCGACTTCCAGCACAGTGCTCTCCCCACGACATCGTGGTTCCCCTAAACACGCCCTTCCCTTCCTTCACGCCTTCCACTGTCTAAAGAACACACACCTAAAAACAGGAGCAACTGACCCAATGTGATTTCAGTCCGGGACACTACAAAGGAGTGAAAAGCCAAAGCCTTTCACCAGTGTTCATCCACCCACAGAGAGTTGGGGGCGGCAGGGGTGGGGCTGGACAGGTGACAAAGGGGGGAGGAAGCAGCCACGCAGGGACTTAGCACCAAATAGGGAAGTTTGACAACTGACTCACAAGGGGCACGTGACTGTGAGGAAGGTGACTGGACGCTGCTGGTGGGTGTCTACGTGCTTCCCGGCTCTACTCCTAGCCCCCTCCCCAGACTCCCCTCTTCCATCCACCTGTGGACCTCCTAAGCCTCACGCAAAGCTCACAATTCCCCGCACCCCCTTTCCTGTTCCCACCTGTGGGTCTTGGCTGGGTTATTTGCTTGCCTTAATTGACACCCTCTTGCTGTTCGCCTATTATAAACCTCCCTGTGCTTGAGGCCCCACGTCAAATGCCATTTTTCTTTACAAAGTCTACCAGACTGCCACCTTCTCCCTCCTGTTGCTTATTCTTTCTCATCTTGAACCTTCAGGGTGAACTATCTGACTCTCCTTCCCTGTCTGCATTATAATTATATATATAACAATATATATATTAATATATATAATTATCTTTTTTTCTTTAAATTTTTTTTATTGTGTTAATCACCATACATCATTAGTTTTGGATGCAGTGTTCCATGATTCATTGTTCGTGCATAACACCCAGTGCTCCATGCAGAACGTGCCCTCTTTAATACCCATCACCAGGCTAACCCATCCCCCCACCCCCCTCCCCTCTAGAACCCT